TTATGTATTAATCATTTCATTTAGTGAGTGAGTATAAAGAACATTTATTAATTCTAAAATTAAAATTAACAAAATTATTTCACAAATAAAGAACATAAATACTTATTTACATTTCATTCGCATTAATCTAGTCTGTGAGTATAAGAATTTACTAATGGATAAAATTAAAAAACAAATTCAAAAATCAAGAACGAAAATACTTATTTATGCTTCAATCGTATTAATCATTTATTTAGTGAGTGAGTACAAAGAACATTTATTATTGATACATAAAATTAACATGGTGAAACAAATTCATAAATCAAGAAAATAAATACTTATTTATATTCCATTCGATTAATTTAGTCTGTAAGTATGATGTTTTCTCAAATTTATTACTAGATAAAATTAAAAAAAAACAAAACAAGTTCACAAATCAAGAACGTAAATGCTTCCATTTCATTCACATTAATTTAGTAGGTGAGTTCAAAAAACATTTATTAATGGATAGTATTAAAAAAAGAGAGCTAGTTCACAAAGCAAAGCATAAATACTTATTTATCATTACTGATTCGTCTGTCTTAATTTAGTCGGTAAGAATAAAATTTATTTACATTCAATAACAGTAGCATGGCTAATAAAATAAAGCACTTATGGTATATTAATTATAAAGCATACCTGAATATGGAAAATGTGCTCATTGTAATGAAGATAACACGAATAAAGCATGGTGCGTATCATGTGACCCTGACATAACGACGACAAGTTGGACAAGTAGAAATAAGGATATTGATGATTGTATGAAAGAATTCCAATTAAGAGCCCGTGCATATGAAGATGCGATAGAATGGATTCCATTTGATAAATTATCCGATATTGACGAAATTGGTAGAGGAGGATTTGGCTCTATATATAAAGCAACCTGGTTGCGTGGCATACGAAAAATCGATGCTGATAATTATAATTATGTAAGAACGCGTTATCCACCCAGCACCGTTGCACTCAAGAAGTTGGTCAGTTCTGAGGAAAATAATTTTGATTTTTTAAAAGAAGTAAGTTAATTTATTGCTTTGAAATTATCTAATAGTTTATTGAACTAATTCACCGTTTAAACTTTTAGAATTAATAAATGTTCTTTATACTCACTCACTAAATGAAATGATTAATACATAATGGTAAATAAGTATTTATGTATTGATTTGTAAAGTTGGTTTGCTTTTTTATTTTATTCATTAATAACTGTCCTTTATACTCACTCACTGAATGAAATTATTGATACATAATGATAAATAAGTGTTTATGTATTTATTTGTAAAGTTGGTTTGCTTTTTTATTTTATTTATTAATAAATGTTCTTATACTTACCGACTAAATTAATACGATTTGGACGAAATTAAATAATAAATATTCGTGAACTTGATAGCTTATTCCCTATGAGGAAAGTGGTCCAGGTTGTGGCTCGGGTTGGTTTCGGAATGCACGAAATAGTACGGGTGTGTGGCATATAGAGGCACTTTTACGTGATGGTACGGCTAAAAATGGCACGGACATTACGGAAAAGTGGTGGTCGTGTTGAATGATACTTATATGCACGTGTCTCAAGAGCGAAGGACCAGTAAATGTTTTTTTATGAAAAAAAAAATGCAATATATCAAAATTTCACCAATTAAATTGTTCTGGTATCTTAATGAAAAATACACCTTGCAGAATTTTACACATACAATTACTTAATTTTCAAATACATATTATATTGATGATAATTGAAGTAAATGATGGTTTACTATGTATATTTGTTATTATGGTGGTGAGTGAATTTACGTACGCCCGTACCAAAGCTTGTACCAATTAGACTAGTAAAGGGTGTAAAACCCGAGTCATTAACGGTCCAATTGCACTGGTATACGGACCAACACGAGCCAAAAATCTATACCACTTCGAGCCTCTTACGTACAAAATCCGGGTTTGATCTGTGCCATTCCGAAAGCTAACCCATACAACTACAGTACATTTTTCTTATAGGGATTTTAAATACTTGGATTAATAAATGTCTTTATACTCACACACTAAATTAACGTGAATAAAATAAAATTAAATAGTAAGTATACATAAACTTGAATAGCTTATTTTTAAACACTTGATTAATGATTTTTTTTGTACTCACAATCTAGAATAAAATTAGATAGTAAATACTTATAAACTTGTATAGCTTATTTTAACGAAAATTCTTTATACTCACATTCTAAATAAAATTTGATAGTAAATTCTCATGAATTTGAATAGATTATTTTAAATACTTGTTATTTATACTCACGAACTAAATCAACATAAATAAAATAATTATGAGTTATTATAAACTATTGCTAATAAAATCCCTTTATACTAGATAATAATACTTACTCTCTAAAAAATTAAATGGTTTAAAAATCTCTATTATCAAAAATACATATATTAACAAATAACTTACTTTTTAATCCAACTAAAGTACTCGCCTTCATTCTTAATTACACCAATCCCGTAATAGTAGCAAATGGCAGTTTTAAAAATTCCCATAGAGTTATTCATTTCAGCTGATTTTAGATAATGCTTAAATGCGTTATGATTACTTTTTTCCTCTCCAATTCCTAAATAATAACAATAACCAACTTGATATGCTCCATTAGGATCATTCTTCTTTGCTGATTCTTGATAATTAATAAATGCCATTTTCTCATCCTTTTCAAATTCAATCCCGTATTCGTAACAATAACCATTCCAATATATTTCAGCTGGTTTCATCTCATCTGAAATATATATTCCACCTGACTGTTTCTTTAAAGCTTCTGAAATCATCCGAGTATTAATGACTTTAGACGTATAATGATGTTCACGTTTTATTGGATCTAATATCTCTGTCTTATTCTTATTCAAAAATGCTTTCTTAATTTTAAGTTCCTCTTCGTTTAAGCATTCAGGGTCGAAATCGAAAATACGATACCAGTTAAACAAATTTTGGCAAACCTCTCCAGCACTTGGCCGTTTTGTTGGATCTTTATCCATACACTGTTCTGCCAATTTAATATAAAAGTCAGGTGTTTCTTTACCAAATATTGGACGTAGGCCTTTATATATTTTTGCTGCGAATACACTATCGACATCCTTATTGATAGTGTCATAATAAGGTGGAATTCCAGTAGAAACTTCAGTTAATATAATACCAAAACTAAAAATGTCAGCAGCTGTTGTATATTCACCGCCTAATAAAATTTCAGGAGCAACATAGGGAAGAACTCCGAAAATTTCTCCAGATGTTTTATATTCAATTTTATTAGACAGCCCGAAGTCAGAGATATATGATTTTATATCAGCAGTTTCATTGGTATTTACTAAAAGTATATTGCCACTATGTAAATTTTTATGTACATATCCCATATTATGGATTCTACTTAAATTGTATGCAGTAGAAAAAAGAATTTTTAACTTGTTCGTCCAAGTAAGTTCCCTATTTTTTTCTAGATATTGCCAAAGATTTCCTCCATCTGCGTATTGGCATACCATAAAATATTCACCTTTTTCTGGGGAACAGGTTATCCCAAATATTTCAAAAAAGTCTTTTTGATTTCCAAATTCTACGAAAGTTTTAAACTAAATAACGATAATAATAATAAGGTATAATCAAATAATAAAAAAATAATAATAATAACCAAAAAAATAATAATAACCAAAAAAATAATATATTTCAACATTACCTCTTTGGAAATATCTTTATTAACCTCTTTAATACTGGGTTTAAGAACAACCTTGCATTTTTCACGCTTTAATACCAATTTATTATTTTCTTTCGAACTTATTCGTTTTCCATCTAACCAAATTGCATATTTAACAGTACCAAAACCACCTTTGCCAATTTCTTGAACATTTTCTAATTTATCGAAAGGAATCCATTCTATCACTTTGTCATAATGTTTTGCCTTTAGTTGCAATTCTTTTATAAGATATTTGAGTTCTTTATTTTCACATGTACACTCTTTATCTATTCCCCACTTTTCATATATATGTTCAATTTCGTCTATCTTTTGATAACAAATATTAGTTAAAGTTTCAAGAATTTCGTTCATTTCTGGACGGTTAGCAGGTTTCTCATCCCAACATTTCTTATAAAGTTCAATATATTGAGGTGGAGTGCCTTTCTCCACAGGTTCCTCTCTTTTTCCTTCGAGGATGTAATTAGCAAGTGATTCTTTTGTTAAGAAGGATTTGAATGGTGGTTTACCGCTTGAGATTTCCCAGAGAACAACACCCAGACTATAGATGTCAGATTTTTGAGTAAGATTATATTGAACGTAGACGTCAGGTTCTTGAGAAAGATTATTTTCAGTTTTTATTTTTAAGCATTGAGGTTCGATATATGCTATTGAATCTAAATCTAATAAACTCTTATCAATTGACGATGTAGCTTCCGACATTTTGGATAAGCCAAAGCCTGCAATCTTGATTTTTCCTTCGCAAACCAATATATTCTTGGAATTCTAAAATATAATTAGAGTTATTAAATACTAGAACAGTTATTTTAAATATAAATAAGGCATAGACATGCATACAATATCTTGATGAACGATATTATTTTCATGTAAAAACTTTAGACCATTAGATATTTCGATTGCAATACGTGATTTATCAATCCATCCTAATCTCAATTTTTCATTCAAATATTCGCGTAAATTTCCATCACTAGCAAATAGTCGAACTATATTATAACACCATTCGTGTTCTATTAATTGTACGTAAATATTATTAATATTAAAGAATACAAATATATCTTTTATTGATAAAGAATAATCAACCAGAAAGGTTTAAAAATACATTCCTTCAGTAGTTCCTTTAGTAAACCCATAAAAATTGATAATATTTTCATGAAAACCAACTTTTTGTAATTGTCGAATCTGTACAGTTTATCGATATAATAAGTGTTAAATAAATTGATAATTATATATTTAATGTTGTTTTGCATTATAGATGTAAAATATTAGTACGTACTTCAGTAATAAACTCTTGAAAAGCCTTATACTTCTGGATAGTAATTTTGGTTTTATTATCCTGGATGGTATCAATTTTGGTGCTATCATTCTGGATGATGTCAATTTTTACGCTTTTATGAGTAACTGCAATATTTCTTTTCCTCCATTTTGATTTATACACTGTCATCCCAAATCTACTTTCTCCGATTTTCCTAAAGTCATAAAATTCATCATAATCATAACGACTAATTTTTAGGTCGGAAAATTCTTTTTCTAAATCTATTTCCATAGTAGCGGTAGTATTATTATCTTTTTTTTTTAAAAAAAAAAAAAGCATGTACGTACGTACGCACATACATATTTATCGTTATCAAAATTAAACACATGTATAACGTATGACATACCACTTATTTTGTCAACTCTGCGTTTTGCGTCTACGCAACAGATGGAACCGTTGATACGTCACAAAATCGTTACACAATTGATGAATATTTTTTTTATATTATTTTACAATACTTTATTGTAAGGCTCGCTTGATTTATCTTTTCTATGAATATTGAAAATGGTTCAACAAACATGAAGCTCTCACTTTGCTTTACAACATATTTTTTGAATTTCCTTGAATCCCATGGTTTCGTCTTTTTGTAAATTTCGCAATTTGATTGGTTGACTAATCCCGTAGTGATGACTGAGTGATCTGTGTAACGGGGAATGAAAATCATATCTATAT